TAAGAGCATAGAAATTTTTTTTATTGCACTTGTTTACGACCTTTAGGCAGCAACACCACATACTGAAGATTTGCCAAAGAAGAAAACTTCGCAGTTTCAGTTTCAACCCAGATATCGGGTTTGTATATACATAGAAGTAATCTATCTTAAAAAACGTGAAATCAATTCGGTCGCTCCCGTCCGTTTGTCTGCTTTTCCGTGAAAGTAAGATATTTCTATTCTTTAATTCCAATTTTGAAAGAGTCATGACTTATCTTAATATACATATCAAAGACCGCTTGTATAGATATTAAAACTGTTGGATTGCGTACGTCCGCCTAATTAAATTTTTGTAGAGCTCGTCGAACCGTAAACATGTAAATAGAAAAGAAGAAACTTGTTTTCAATTTGAGTTCACAGATAAGGCTTCAAAATGGATTTGCGCTGTCCAGAAATACATATCAAACATCCCTTATATAAAAAGTGCGTCCGTCTTTCCCTATTTTACTGGAGATCTTCGAACTGCAAACATACAAATACAAAGCCAAATTGAATTATTTTACAGATCGGATGAATATAGTACGCGTACAGGTATATATCAAAAATTTTTTTACGTTACACCTGTCTGTCCGTCCATAATTATTTCACAAATTGAAATAAAAATTTGAAATTAAAAATGCGCCTAATCCGTCTACCATCTTTTTTCCTAATGCTAGCAAACTGAAGGAAATTAAAAGAAAGAAAAGAACATTTTGCATACATATATACTTTAATTTTTATGACAAATTGATAGCCTAATCAGACAGCTATCGCGTTCGCTCTAAATGATGGGTGTTCAAGATTCGTGCAGAAACGAATACTAATATCACTATGTATATATATATATATATACACATATATATACATTTTTTTTTTAAACTTTCTCTATACCCTAATGGCATTACTTTATTGCTGACTAATAAATATTTACATGTGTATATATAGGCATATGTATGCTTAGTATAATGGACAATATTCACAAGACAAAAAAAAAAACTCGGAAGCCATTTGAATTGAAATACTTTTTATTAATTTTACAGGAAAAAGCCATTTTAATTATTAATAATAGCAAGAAAAAGCTCTAACCTATGGCGTTTGGAAGAGAGAAGAAGAAAAAAAAGAATTCGCTTTAAAAGCGAAAAAATGTCAAAACTTAATGAACGCTACAGACAAAAGATCATATCAATAAAGAGTTAAGTATTAACGCGTAACAACACTTCTTACTCGACTATATGGCATATGGAAATTCTATGTATGCATGTCGAAATCTAATCATTTCAATTTTTACCAAAAATATATTATAATTATTGTCACTATGTGATATCGTGCATAAACGGAGTCATCGCCAATACTTTTGCACAAGTTCGCTATGTTCTTCGCCTCTTGACCTTCTATGGCTGAAGGCTTTTAAAATATTAACACCTATATAAAGTTAGTGCGATAGATATGTTATGATAATTATACAATAGACTAGAAGAATTTTCAATCTCAAAGCACAAAGCAGCACAGTTGTCGCAACGTAGCCTCAAAAGCAGTGAGCGAAAACGGCAAAAGATCGGTTGCCGTTACAAGTAATTAAAATATCTTTTCAAAATTATTCATTGAATTCTCGAATATAGTCGTAAATGCTATAAATTACTTGATGATGAGGATAAAGGAAAATCAGATGACAAATTCAAATTAAATTTATTTCACTACTAACAAATAAGAACATTGTAGTCGGACAAAGCCGACTAATATTCTCAGTAGTACACCGAAAGCCACACATTAATTTCATGCAAAAGGATATTTTCCGTGAACGCACGTATATTGAAGGAATCCTTATGTACCGTATTATCCAAAATATAATACCTACATGGTCCAAATTCGTTAAGGTTGATTTCTATGTCAGTTATATAATATAAAAAATATAAATATAAAAAATTATGCCTTTTTTTCGTAGCAATGGTTGTATGAAAGAGGGCTCAGAAATTTTCCACAGGCGAACCGTGTTTTGCATACCAATTTAATTTGTCCAAATACTGTCGGAGCGATTTTTGTCGAGAAATTTTGATAATTGAAAAGTCGTTACAGTGGACCGATCCAAACCATTTTCAATAGCGTTCGCCTTTGGTTCAAACCACTTTTGTCTAGCAAATTTCATAAAAATATCCCAAAAATTTGCGATCTGTGGCTTGAATAGACATCAGAGGGACAGACAGGCGATAAAAAAAAAGGGTAGATTTATCTTAAAGCTTTCAACATGTGACTTACATCCGCAAAACTTAATATACTCCGTATGAAAAATGGTATGGGGTGTAATTATTCGTTCACCTTCCGCATATATTCGCAAATGTTAGAAATTATTTGATGATAAGAATAAAGGAAAAGCAGATGACAAACTTACGATTCGCTACTAAATATCTGAATGAAGGGAAATAGGAAAGAAAAGGACATTCACAGTGAAACTGATCGATTGTAATAATCTTTCTGTCTTTGTTATATACCTTCACTCGGAATGTATCACTCATAGATTCCGTAAAAACGCATAAATATGTATTCTTCGTCGGTGTAAAATTTGGAATTTATTTACCTCTGTGTTTTGGCTTCCTACAAGCAATCAATATTATTGATTAGGGAATAAGGATTTCGCAATTATGGCATCGTTAGTGCGACTTGCCGGCAGGTTTTAGAGACATGTGTTCATGAATCGATGGCCAGGCCTGTTTAGAGCTTCAATTCCGAATGCTGGACAAATGTAAATGATTTGACGGCACAATGTTACATTTGGATAATATGTACGCCAAAGCGGGGCGACAATTCCAACCACTCGACAGAGCAGGCTAACGCCCTTGAAATGTTATAGTCTTTGCCTAGAAGTCCTCCTACTTGGAAGCGAACGTCACGACTAATTGTGTCTATTACATTAAATGAGATAATGCATGAATTTATCGTACATTAGCTTTGACGAAGACTGAAATGCTGATGTTAATCAACTCGTATTTCATATCAAATGCTAGGAAACAATGCGCTTTTAGCCACCACGCCATCAAAGTAAAATTGCGACATAAACATCCAGGCACAAAACAGTAAAGTACCGAAAATAATCGGCTCAATTAGCCATCTCCTTCGATCTTGACAAGTCCTCGCGACTTGTCAGCAAACCATTGTTTGATGGTGAGAATCTTTAGCGAAGTTATATAAAACATATCTGTAATCATATAAGGGAATAAGGATTACGTGCATCTTTACTTCAAACAGCTGAAGAGTTCTCGCATTCGAAAAAAAGACAATAATAACATCGCAACCAGCCTATCCCGTTATTCCCTAATCAGATCACTCTCGCAATCAAACCCAGCCGCTTGCATCCGTCTATCTGTCTTCCACTTGTGCGCTGTTGATTGGTTTACCATTGCAAAAAAGCAGATGAAAATCTGTAACTATGTTAAAGGGCGTGGTCCTCCTAAATTTATTGTAATATTTATAAGTAAATCCAATAGGGATTTAAGAATGATTTTCGTCACCGAAAAAGTATGCTTACAATTAATTAAAATTTTTATATGCTCGTACGACACACTGGGCGCCAAAGGTTAGCAGTAAGACGCACGTAACTTCCTTACTTGTTTTTCACTCCAACTATCATCTGCCTAATATGCATTTATTTTTCAACTTGTTGGATAACGCTCAATTATAATGTATTTAAAAAGACAACACATATACTTAAAAAAAAAGTCTGATATTGCGTCCATTTATGGTAAAATAAAATTTAAAATTTATCGACAACAATAACAACACTAAAGCTTTTTACTTAAAACTTTAAAACCATCAAAACGTTTTCCTTACACTCGCATAAACATATCTTTTTACCTTAAAAATATAAATATACATAAAAAGAATAAATAAATAAATAAAATCATTTTCATAAACAACTACACTTCAAATCTAAAACTCATTACGCTCAACTCAGTCATACATCAACGCACATCCACTATTCTATATAAATCTCTTTTAGATAAATTTCTTTAAAATCTATACAATAATTTTTCTGATTTTCGTCTAAAGACTGATTACAAAATATATATGTAAAAAAAAAAAAAATTAATGTTCTTTTTTAAAATATTATTTAACTCGAACAACACCGTTAATTATTCTACCCATCTATAGATTTCAGTCTTTATATTAATAAGTACGTACACGCGTATACATCTTCTAACATATGCAAAGATATTTACATAAAATTAACTTTCAAGCGAATTTGCAAAATAAAAACGAAAATATTCTATTGCTTTGTTATAATGCTAACAATAAATACTATTACTCTCTACCTAGATGTCAAACTGCCCTGCTTGGAAACCAATTAATGTACTAAAAAAAATATTTAAAATTAAAAGAAAATAAAAAATATATGAAAGATGGCAAAAGCAAAGTTTAAGTCAAATCATATTTTATTTACTTATTTGTGAAAAAATAACAACAAATATATATATACATATATATATATATATATATATATATATACCTATAAATAAATAAATAGTTTATATAATACAAATACTATTTATATTAAATATAAAACAGAAAAAAAAGAAGGTAAATAAAAATACCACCGCTTTGTGTAAAATTACAAAAACGAGAAAAATGCCAAGAAAGTTTTCTTTACAACAGTTTTACTGCTATTTTAATAGATAAAAATTAAGAGGAAGAGTTTACATTTTACATTAACACTAGTTTTGGTTTTTTGCCAGTTCTTCTTCTTTTTTAAATAACCATTCAATATTAATAGCTATCTTCCCTTTGGAATAACTAACAGCTGATAAGTGTAAAGATAACATTTCTGTTAATAAAAGCAACCAACAGTTTTTCTGTCTTCTGTTTACTTATTCGACTCTTATTTGTGACGGTAGTAATGAAAAAGAAAGTTTACAGTTATTTTGTTGACGGAAGAACAAGTCTTCCTCTTCTTTAAAAATACCTAAGAAAAATATTTAAAATAAATGTGTTTAACTGCATTTTATCAAAACCTAAACTCAATAATCAAATAAAATTAAGAAGATTTCTTTGATTTTTAACGAAGGAATATTATTCAATCAAAAACTATACAAGAAATAAACGTATGCAACTCTTAAAATTCTCCCTGAGAAGAAAATATAACAGCCAAGAGTTATTAAAGGCAACAGCAAAGGAAAAACAATCGATTTTTCAAAGGTTTCTTATATCAATATTTAATTTTTTGTAACAATAATAACAATATAATTAATTTAATCACATTTTTAGGAACGTTTACAAAATGTTGTAGGTGTAAATATGCCAGAAAATTTAGAATTACATCAATTTGTAGACGGTTTTCGTCGCGGCGAAACGTCGACAAAACGTTTATTAACACGTTGGAAATCGCAAATGAATTGCCCGTATTTAGGTATAATACTGGCAACTTTATCATCCTTGTTCTTCTCATTGTGCTCTGTGATAGTTAAGGGTTTAGTAGATGTAAATCCGATGGAATTAGCATCCTTTAGGTATGTACGTTATTAAATTTATCCCTGCACGTTTCTATGTATGTATATGAACATTTATTAAGGTAAGAAAAAAATTTTTCTATTTCAGATTTGTTGGAGTCTTATTGCCCGCCATACCTATTGTTGTGTATAATCGTCAGCCGGTATTTCCAGCCGGTAAACGTGTCATTTTACTGTTGCGTTGTTTTATGGGCACTACTGGCCTTATGCTTAGCTTTTACGCGTTTCGACATATGCCTTTGGCTGACGCCAGTGTGATTATATTTTCAACACCAGTTTTCGTGGCGATTTTTGCTCGAGTATTCCTAAAAGAACAGTGCAGCATCTTTAATGTGATTACAATAGTTTTAACTTTGGTGGGCGTAGTGTTAATAACTCGACCCCCTTTTGTATTTGGCGAGACATCAGCCTCCGCTCTAGAAAGCGAACGTTATGCTGGCAAAAATTATGACATCTGGGGCCCGGTGGCTGCCATATCGTCCACTTTATTCGGTGCTAATGTTTATATATTACTAAGAGCTTTAAAAGGTTTACACTTTTCCGTCATTATGACTAACTTCGGTGCTTTCGCCTTAATCTACACTTTAATAGTATGCGGTTCGATTGGCGCCATTTGTTGGCCAGCTTGTGGTCATGATAGATGGCTCGTTGTTGTATTGGGTATATTTAGCTTCTTAGGACAAATTCTTTTAACATTATCTTTACAAATGGAACAAGCCGGCCCCGTCGCTATAGCTCGTTGCGCCGACATCGTTTTTGCCTTTATATGGCAAATTATGTTTTTTGGTGAAACACCTACCGGTTATTCCTTGCTGGGTGCTGTTTTAGTAGTTAGTTCCGTTATATTAACAGCCCTTAAAAAATGGGCTCTTTCTTTGCCACGTGATTCGATGGTGCGCAAACGTTTACGCTATTTAATCATGGATTAAATCGTTTAAATTAAAGCAAAAAACGTTATGTAAGGGCCCAACGATATATGTGTATTGTATGTATATTGAAAAGCGCCAATTGTGGTTTCTCTTACCCTCTCATAAACTAGGTACTATTTTAATTTATATGAACAAAAAACTAGACAAAATGACGAAAAAATGAATGAGTGTTAACTAAAAGTTGAAAGTGTGGTACGATTAAAAAATAGTTTTTTTTAGATTTAGCGAATAATATGCTCAATATAATGAAAGAAAGAAAAAAAACTCACTCAACCCTTCATATACCATTCCACTTTAGTATGTGCTTCATATATACAAATATAGGAAATCGTACGATTATAGTTTTGTTTGTATACTAAAAAGAAATTTAAAAAAAAAACACAAAAATGTACTAAAAAAGAATATTTAAGGTTAAATATCGAAAATATTGCATTTAAATGGAAATCGTCTCTCTTGTAAATTATAAGACAAAAAACTAAAAACAAAAATTATAATAATAAACTAAAAGCAAAAATATATAAAACTAAATTAAAAAGGAGCAGATATAGAAAAAAATTTTAAAAAATTTACTGATTGAACAAAATTAAAATGAATTATTTATTATCGGTACACACATTAGGGTTTGCTAGCTAAGAATCCAAGTCCAAGACCATGTCAGCGCTCGAGGGTTTATATCTCAATCCGGTAGATTTAACTTTAATCATAGCTATAGTGAGTGGTCATGCGGCAAAGGCACAACCCTTATCGATTGGAGTCACATCAGACGGCGGCTCCCATCTCGCTATATTTTGCTTCGTCTTTTCTTCCTTCTTTCCTGCCCGTCACCGTCACTGAGAACAGCCATACTTAGGCCAATTTTCAAATTTACCCTAAAGAGAATAATAAGAAAAAGCTTAAATCAAATATTTCCCTCTAAATAAGCCGCTGAGATGTCAAATGCGAAAAATTTGAACAATTTTCATCTGATAACGAATGGACCAGAGTCCAAACTCACAGCTGCTCCCTTTCGTTTTTGTTATGAATTAAAGCGAATACATATAATGTAACAATATGTTATAATAATACGAAAATTAAAAGGATAATTTCGTATATTTTATAGTGAAATGATAACGCGCAGCGTTTAAAATGCGGAAAAGGATATTTCCGTAGCAACCGTTAGCAACGTTTCCGGTATTCAAAACTGGGTTTAAAAACATCTTCTGCTCGCCCATTTACGCTGTATAATACCAAATATTGTATTTAATAAGGCAAGTTTTGTAGTCTAACGACGAACTCGCTTCCCCGATACGTTTTTTCATCTGTCAACCAATAATTAACTACCCTCTGAACGCTTTCCCGTGACCCAAACCGTATTGTTAATCGAGGTCATATCCGTAGTTTTCCCGATAGATCTAATTTTCTTTTAATTCTTTTTGTAAACGTAGCTGGGCTAACCAGGCGAAACAAAGTGCAGCCCCAGCTGTACGCGTTACAACCTGACAATTTTAAGGAAAGCAACTGGAACACTTCTTTCAAGGCAATGTGTTCTTCTCTGCGAATGCATGGATAATAATTTGCAATACAATTATTATGAGCTTTACATAAAGTACTTCATACCCGTCTTTGCTTTCCACAGTAAACAAAAATATCACAAATCAAAAAGCAAAGACTGGACGCGCGCCGGATTTTTGCTGCAGATACCAATTCGATTCGAAATAATACTAAATTCGGATCAAGCAGGTCTATCTTTTGTATCCGACACCATTTAAGGGTTTTGATGAAAAATGAGCTTTTTTACAAAGGCTTGTTGAATTATTGAGTACAAATATGCGCTTATTCTCGAAAGTCGTACAATACATGCAAAATGATTGAGAATTGTAAACAACCGTATTCAGACATTCTCAGTTGTATGGAATTTGTATACAAATGATTGAGAACGAATATGCGTTTATTCTCTAAAAAATTTATTATATGACCAAAAAATTTATTGTACGACCAAAAAATTTACTTTGTGAGGTGTTTGAAAAGGAGCAAAAATATTTCAAGGTAAGTGCAGATAACACTGTTAAAATCTTTTCAACCGCTCGACTGAAATATTGTAAAGGATACTGAAAGCCCTGGGATACATTTTTTTGACTACGTCTCAATTTCGTCATAATCTTCAGACTTCTTCTTCCGGCAGTTTCGGTCATACTTTTTTCAACTTAGATTTGAAATTTTTGCTGCAAAACTAAACCGCATTATATTAAACGCTGTAATAATGCGGCCGGTAAACTGAGAATTTTTATAATTCCGTTTATTTTCTTTAGCCTTAGAAATAAATATTGGCAGATTTGTTTATTTTTGCTCATTTGCCCCAACACAAGCGACTCAATAAAAATGTTTTTTTTTTCTTTATGTTACTCACGCAAGCAGACTTTGCAAAAATACTTAATGCTTTTATGTCTATTTCTAGCAATTTTGACTACATGCTGTAACAACAAAAACAGCATCAAACACATGCTAAAATCAAATTTCTCCATAATTAAAATTTTCAAAAACATCGGCTAGTCGTTAAATCATAACAACACCTTAATATCCTAAAAATGTATTTTTCAAAATATTTTTGGGATGAAAGGAAAGAAAAATGGTGGAAAGATTACAGCAAATATGAGCAAAGTCAGGATTTGAGTGAGCTGGAAATTACATTGTCATTTTCTTGAGGCATCTTTATATTAAGCGGTTTTGTCGCCCGTACTTTAGGCGATGCAAATTTGCAACCTAAGATAAAATCACTTAGGTTACTTACCTATAGCTAAAGCAGTACGTGGGAAACTTTAAAAGCAGTGAGTTTTGAATGAATGAACTTCGGGCAAAAAGTAAAAGTAATGTTTTGCCAATAAATGCAGGTTGAATTAACTTATCGAAAAGCCCTACATGTTTACTTTTAAAATCTTTTTTAAAAAACATTGTAAAAAAAGTTGAATAGGCAGAATAAAATTGTAGTAATGTTTTATGATTTATAATAAATTTTCAACTAATTTTCAAGATAAAACGCTTCTCAAACCTCAAATAATTTATCCCATATTTTTCCCAAAGGCCGGAAAATTTATTATACTGTACCCAAAATGATAAATAACATGAAAATCTTCACCACGCATTTTTGAGTTCTTGGCAACAACTCCTTTTAAATCGCTCTCAATCTCACATATACCCCCCAGAAATGATGGAATTGTTTACAAATCAATGGGTGGTATAGCGAATTCGATTGAAAAACAGATGAAATTGTTTACAAATCAACGGTAGGTATAGCGAATTCGATTAAAAAACAGATGAAATTGTTCACAAATCAATGTGTGGTATATCATTGGCAATATATCATTTGTCCTAAGCAACACTTTCAAAGCGTTTGGGACAGATGTCCATACACTCTGGAAACTTCACACACATATTAAGCCAAGAGCAAACAAATTTGCTTTTTGAAAAATTTGCCGTGTGATTTATTCCGTAAATGGTTTTGATGATAAACACCACTACAATTTTTGCAAAAACGCCAATTTGACAATACAACGCATACGTAAGAATATTGATCGTAAATTGCAGCATTGGTTGAATGCTATCGACTTACTCTGATTGAGCAAATATGTTGCAGCTGTTTTGTTGTATCTTAGAGAAATCGACTCATCACTGACGTTTCCCGCTTTTTTGACAAAATGCGTAATGTACAAACACTTCGCAATGCTTTAGCATATATTTTTCTGCTTTATCGTATATGTCCGGTCAATTTTTCAGCTTATTGCTACTACAAAAGAACAAATTTTATACGGATTTCACATCCAGTTTAATTCAAGTTTTGAATGAATTTTAATTAAAAGTAATACGAATAAAACAATAAAGCAATGGTTCAATAAAAATAAACAAAAATTAGAATGCAAGGCGAAAGAATAAAATCTCTATTACTATCCGAAGATATGGTTCAATCTGTATATATCAACACCGCTAAGAATTTCATCAGTGCATGTGCTTTAAAACGTAATCGCTACTGGGACGTTATTTCCAACTGGACAACGGTGTTCACTCTGTCGTGCTGGATAACACGACTGAGAAAAAGTTAGTTGAAAATAACATAAACTAAAGCAATACTAGGAAATAAAAACCCTAGCTTATTAAGTGCTCGGGTCTGACGTCTGATAATCCTCTGTGTCTCTTATTGGAACATGTAGTAAACAAAAGGTAACAGCAAATTATTGACAAGAAAGGTAAGAAAGTAGAGTTGAGTTCAATTCAGTTATGTATATTGAAAACAAAACGTAACATTTAAATAATGCAAGAAAACAGAAATAAATTTAGAGAACTATTTCCATTCCGTTAACACTAATTCTTAATATCGACATTAATTTAAAGGATACAGTGGATCTAATTAAGTCTTAAGGTGAATGCAGCGATTATGCAAACTTGCCAAATTACAATATATAATCAAATGGGTTTGGATCCATTTCGAAAAGTACAAATGTGACAATGATGTCTTTGTTTATGTAATATTAATTTAACAAGTTTTAGTGAGGCTCAAACGTGGTCGGCTTTGTTTGTTGTTACCGAACATAGGCTAAAAGGTTCAATTCAAGAGTAAATTCAAGAGTTTCAAATACATAAGTTTGATACATTCTACATTTATTTGATCAATTTATGCAGTTTCTAATAGATGATACGTTTATAATGCAATAATTATGAAAAGTCAGTTTCCATTGCAAACCAATTACCGGCAATGCTTTTATTGCTTAGAGAGAAAACTATTTCCCATATGTAATAAGCACTATTCATGATTTTTTTATCGCATCTAATGAAGAATACGTACAAATGGCTTGTTTTATTTGTTTAATCGAAATTATTCATGTTCTTTCTAGACATAATCATTTGATTTTTAAATATATATTAGCCATCAGCAGACCTGCACCTGTAAATGTTCTTCGCAGTCTATCGATAATTATTAAAATTAAAAAATATATATTTCGTTCTTTTGTATATTACGCTTTTAATCACCTTTTGACCAGAGCAGCATAGCTTGATGACTATAGGAGGGAGGACAATATTTCGACCAAAAGTGGTCACGCCATAATTTTTCTAATTTCCTTAAACCTCCGGGCTCGGCTTGAAATTTTTTGACGGCAACGTAATTTGAATGTGTTACTCTATTACCTAATACAATTTCCAATACCTTTTGGTTAATCTCAGGTTGTTCGTCGAAACAACTCTTAAAATAATCCGACACCAAAGCTTTGCAGTATTGGCTATTTTCTTCTGATGCTTGTCCGTTTAGTAATGCCTTGGCCGCCTCTTTAGTTCTTAAAAACTAAAAATCAAAATTGTACACACGAGAAATGAGATCGAGCATTAAAATTTTAATATTGTATTTGCGCAGAATTTGTAATTACCCGGTCAGAGCTGTAGCGAGCAAGCGATTTTTTTTTCAGTTTGTTATACATTTCAAAATCGGATACATGACTTAAGCGAAGGCACCTTGGACATAAGAATATTACATCACGACAAGTAAAAAGTTGAAACGTCACTGCGAGTAACAACGGAGGGAAATCAGGGTTGAAAAATGCATCTAATTATCCATTAACTACCTGGAAAATATTCACGCAAATCCATCGGCACAACAGGCTTATGTAACAGTCCGTCAGGGTGACCGCAGATGTAGCATTGAGAATTTGATTGCTGATAAAAGCCTATTGCTCGAAAAGCCGGAAAAAACTTCAAGCGTATGGTAAACTTTTCGGAGTCAACTTGTGTTCCTAGCTGTTCCCTCAAATACCATTCACCTTTACTTTTATCGACCAGACATACGAACTCGTCGTCTGGTGCAAGAAGCAAGCATTTATCGCTTGGACAATATACCTCCAAAGATTGGAGTATGGTTGAGTATTGAACAGTAGTTTTTCGCCATTCCCCGAAATGCAAATCCAAGAATTCGGATATATTAAGCCTAAATAGGGATTTGCTTAAATTTCCGTTAGGAAATTGGTGCAAATCACTAAAAATTATGTAAATAGTTAAAACATATACATACATATATAATAATTCAATGTGTAGTTACACTGGGTCTAGTTCAAACGCTAAGCTTTTAAAAATCTCCACACATGCATAAGCCTTACTAGCAGCGTACTCGGTTTCCTCTTCCTGTAACTCTTCGGCCTCCCAGTAATAATCGAAACCATAATCTTTCTCAAGCTTAACATTAAGAATAGCGAGTGACATGCTATCTAAATCTTCTGGTTTGCGTCGAGTCATAAGTGCCATATAGCGCAAGTCAAACGCACCAACCACCTTGATACCGTAATCCGTTGCCAGTTTCTTAGCATCTAACACGATGTCTACCCCAACTTTGATAATATTTTCATCTTCCAAGACAGCTTTTAAGCTTTTAGGTATCCTTCGCATGCGCCACAAGCGAAATATAGCACAAAAAGCCTTAGGAGAACACAATTGCAACATAGCCACAGACCTATTTTTGCCTTTTACAGTAACCCATTCACAGTGAAAGCCTAGAATTTTATAATCGCTGCAGTGACTAGAAATGCAGGTATATGGCAAATGTTAACGCCAAGCAAATTAAACTCAGTTTTCACCTTTTCAAAGTTTTCACCATATCGTTGCATTTAGGTTTTTTTAAATAATTTAGGTACTTTTTGATCATTTTGCAAAGCGAGGTTACAATAACTTTTGCAATGAAAACTGCAAGTATAAGAACTCCGATCCGTATGGCGATTTGCACAGGGGTTAAAGTATGCAGCCATTCCGTAATTGAAAGATAAATTTTAGAAAACATTTTTAATATAAATTATATATTTTCTGACTTTGTTGGCAAAAATTTCGTGTTAGAAGACACGTTGATTGCAACCAACTGCAACTGTTTTTGCCATTTCGCCCTCCATGTAAGTAACAAGCGGGATTAAAACGACATAAACGCATACACGCGCATACATGACGACAAATGAATAACGTTAAATAAACAGCGCAGCTAAGTATACTTCGTTGTGAACTAATTAAAAATCGTTGAATTGAAAGAAACAATTATCAGTTTCTTTCGGTTTAATCTAAAACAATATAAAACGTATAAAATGGATCTAATTGGTTCGATAAATTTTCAGATTGTAGTAAAAAAATAAGTTAATATCTTGCAATATGTAAAGAACAGCGCTGTTAATCTAACAGGTAGGCCGACATATAAATATAAACAGAAAATAAACAAGTAAGAAACCCATACGCAGTTGGGGCCAAGCCTTACTAACCCCTCACCACGATAACTTAAGAATAATAAGTAAAATAAATTATATTTAAAAAATTGTTTTTAATAAAATTTCATTTTAGTGACGAGAAAATATATTCCGATCGCTTTCATAATGACTTTACTTTTATGAAAGCTTGCAGCACTTAAGATTGTAATACCCAAGAAATCGTTGTTCTTTTAGATGCTCAAAAATTCTATGCTTTAAATTTCCGCCGTAATTAATTTAGATTTAATGCACTTGGTTTGTTGTATTCTACTCTCCAAGTCCTTTTGTTTGATATCCAAATCGATGGTATTGTTAAGAAAATATTAATCCACCACGTCGCGATGTCCACAATATTTATTATAAAACTAATATATTTTTGGACAGATCTTCATTCGAGAAATGTACCAAATAATTTTAAAAGCTATGTTATGTTTACTTTAAGGTTAATAAGCGTAAAACCAAACAAAACAAAAAAGTGGAAGAATAAAAATTTGATCACCGATTTCTGTTCATTTTTGCACATAAATAAAACAGTTTTCCGTAAACTGAATGTAGATAATTTCAACTTTATATCTTTCATAAGTAATGAACGAACATAAAAAAATTTTTGTTTAGAGAAAGAGTGTTGCGTTTAGTTTGCGTTTTACTGACGTCTAGATTTGTGTCGTTTATACGCTACTGACTACAAAAATTAAGATATCGACTTCAAGTTCGGCACAAACGTCAGAAGCTCCTGTATGCATGTTGATATTTAAAGCGGGCCAAATCGATCAACACACATTAGAACGCCTAGACGGAAACCATCTCTAAAGGTTTTTGCTCCTTAGTTAAAAATGTTGAAAGATAAAAAGCTATAACTCTCCAAACTTTCTTATTAGTGGACTCTAGTATTCGTGTTCAAAATGAAACACATCAGCTACGCCAACACAAAGTTATAAGTAATCAAATTTTTACTTTCGTGACGTTTTCTACTTATTACTCTTAAGACAAACAAGGCAAAAAGTTGAAAACTATTCTGCACTTTAAAAAAAAGGAAAAACGTTAAACGATAAAATACCAAAATTTAGTTGGTTTCGTTTTTCAAGTTTTTTTACCCATTATTTTCAAGTCAAAATAGAAAGTGCATTGTTCATTGTGTAAATAAGTGATCGCGCTCACCATACGTCATTAAAACTGGATTCGGCCCCAGTCGCCCGTAACGTTATTGTTTTTGCTAGGTATTATGTTAAGGCTCTGGGCCCAATCCGTACATAGGATATTAGGGCAAGAGATATATAATTGAAAGAATAATTCTGTCCTAAAGCAGGCAACGGAATTGCACTTCGACTTATAACGTATTTAAATTATGTAAAACGGCAAATTCATTTCATTTCATTTGACAGCATTGTTTGCAAATGTCATCGATTCACTCTGAATTCTTAAATAAACAACAACTTGCTCTATCTTGTCTTCCCGCGACGTTACTGCGAAAACTTCAAAACCAGTCGTGGAATTATGTCCAATAAAATTTCAATATTATCTGTGGGCTATTCACGGCCCGATACAGATGATACGAATAGTATGAGAGCTAACTGCAGCAGTACTTTAATAGAAACTAGTAATGGTGTTAACGTGGTGGTAGACACAATGACAAGTTGGGATGGTGAGCTTCTGCAACAAAATCTTAAAAAACATAACTTAGAGCCTAAGGATATACATTATGTCGTTTGTTCCCACGGCCACTCTGATCATATTGGTTGCAATTATTTGTTCACTAATGCCATTTGGCATTTTGTGGGTACTTGTGTGTCCAAACGCGATCGTTATTTGGATTGGAACTTCAATGAACATTTCCAGTTGGACGGGAATAATGTGTTTGTTTTACATACACCTGGCCATACGATGTCATGTGTTTCGGTTGTGGTGAACGATACCAACTTGGGCGAAACGGTGGGAGTGTGTGGTGACTTATTTGAGCGCAAAGAAGATATTTTGGATGAAAGAATATGGCTGGAAGCAGGCAGTGAAGATCCCAAACGACAAATGGCAAATCGTGTAAAAATGCTTGAAATGTGTTCATACATAATACCCGGTCACGGACATGGTTTTGAAGTTACCCAAGAAATGGCGGCTAAACTGAAAACGCAGATGGTGTAAAAAAATATAGAAAATAAAATAAAGCAGCGAGTCGGTACTTTCGGGAAAAACAAAATGTAAGTGACGTTTCCTGATTTTTTATGTAGATTTTCTTAGCACGTTAGTTTTCGTGTTGAATAATATTTATAGTACTTAGGTGAAATCGATTATACACCGATATAGAGGCCGATATTATTTCAGGTTATATTGAGTATTAATAGAGAAGTGCACATAGATGAGTGAATTTATTTGGAATGAGGATGGCAGTGGCAAAAAGCTACAGGTTGCTTTATACTTTATAAAAATCAAAAGACTCGAATCTCCCTTCGCTTTTGAGTTAGCTGCCAACATATTTCTACAACTGCAGGCACATATTTCCAATTTATAGATTTACATAAAAACGAAAGCTAATGTTATATATAAGTTTCAAGTTTCTTGTTCAGCAAACTACCTTGTAATTCGTTGTCAACGTATTCGGGATACGACGTTCTCTTTGCCGAAAAATGGTTTCTCCACAATATTTCCAACTCTCTTAAACCTCCATATACGGTTTGGAATTTTTTGACCACTTTTGCACCGTGATCGGAATCTCTCGCTCTGCTTAGCATTTCCTCACTAGTGCGACAATCTTTAGAGTAAACTTTTAAAAACATTTCGTAATTTTTGCTAGCTTTGCAATCATGACATGTTTTTATCTTGTCGTACTCATTTTCTTTTAGCCTCTATAGATTTAATTAAAGTTGATTGATAATATATGAAAATTCCAATTAAACTAAACTAACTCTTTTACCTGTTTAGTTACCTGCTCATAGCCCCGAGGAGCATTACATATCAAGCTCAATGCATGGTGAATTTGGACGTCGCATATATCACTTAGGCGATCACATTTAACGCATACAAGTTTTACGTCATCGTATGAATAAAATTGAGTTCGAACTGCAAACGAATGTAGAAAGCAAAAGGATGGAAAGTGTCAACAATTTTAACATACCTTTAAGTAACTACCTGGGAAATGTTTACGATATTCCATTGGCACGATAGTTCTAAGTACAAAAGCATCACGCCCACTGCAAATCGCGCATTCATTCAGATGAGGCGCCTGATAACCAAGTTCTTTACAAGCCGGTTCTTTGTTTAAACGTACTGTAAATGGTTTAGACAATGCTTTCGTTCCTAATCCTTCCTCCAAATACCACTCAGCTTTCGATGAACTCAAGCCACACAAAAGTTCACCATTTAGCGCTTGAAGACGGCAAGGGTCATTGCCAGGTAATAATGATGCTGGTGAATACCTCACTTACTTCTTTTGTACAAAATTTTCGATGAAAGGATATCCTACAAGATCTTCTATTTCACTTTTGATTCTTGCAAAGTCAACGTTTCTGAAGAACAATTCATTACTAAACAAATTAAAAATAATTCTATTAAGCAAAATAAACTTTATTAATTTCTCAAGGGAGTACCTTCTCTTCAGTCTGTAAGATAAGTGCTTAAAAATCTCTATTCCTGCAAAGGCATCATTAGCAGCATATTCGATTTGTGCGTCGCTCAACTTCTTGTCTTCCCAATTCGAAGCGGATATATGCCAAGGCTTAATAAGATCTACGTTTAAGACCAACCGCGATAATTTTTCTAAACCCAATGGTTTACACCCAATCATAACGGCCAAGTAACGTATGTCAAAGGTACTAGCCACGTAAATTCCATAGTCTTCTTGCAATTTTTGCGCATCTCCCGAAGGATCTATCCCAACTTTTATTATTTCTTTGTCTTCTAAGAGATTCTTTAGACTTTTCGGTATATGATGCATGTGACATAAG